TTTGATTTATATAACTACAAATGTTATCTTACATAAGAGTTTATCACACCTAGTAACCAATGTAACACATTTTAAAAATTCTTTATTCTTCCACTGTATATAATTTAAAGAATTTTTAAAATGTGTTAGATTGGTTACTTGGTGCGATAAACTCTTACATAAAATAACCTTTGTAAATATAAATCAAATACTATAATATAATATAATAGAAAAGTTAGAAGTATGAAATAATCTAATAATCTTAATCTTTGCTGTTGTTATTTTTTGCCCAAGAAACACAAGGCTCATCTGTTAATATATGTATATATCTAATAATTAGCTTAATTAGTATACAGTGATTTTTAACAATTTCTGCCAATTAATTAATATCAGTTTATTAAATTGTTATGTTTGTTATAAAAATATTTATTATTATAAATAATTTTATTTATATAGAGAGTTGTAGCAATCCTCACATAAAACTGTTTCTCTCTAATATAGTTAAAGAAATGGCAAACTTTATATAGTATGTATATTGTTTTTTAGCTTTTATGAGGAAAAATCCTTGTGTTGAATTTACTTTTTCAACTTTTCTATCTTTTTTTTTTTTTAATCCTTGTTGTTTTGCTAGCCATTACAAAAAAGGCAAAAATAAATATTGGGAAACTCCCAATATTTGTTTTTGTTGGGAAATTCCCATGTTATGTTCTATTGAATTTATTCTTATGCCCAGTCTATTAANCTGTCACGTCAAAATTTTTGTTTTCCTACATCATACTCTAACTCAATAAACTATTACATTTATTATAAATTCTATTAATGCTTTTGTTTGGATAAACGGAATCTCATTTAAAGAAAACCTCAAGATTTAAAAGATGTTTAATTGCATTATAAACAAATTTTACAAATAATCTTTAATAAAGTTATTAAAATAAATATCTACTTTACCTGCTGTAGTAATTAAATGCAGGGTCTGCTCATTTGATTGAAATAATTCACATTTTTAAGTTAATTTGACGTCATCTCTTCAATTTTGAGAAGAGAAATTCTGAAGAATGGCGACAAATTTACATAAAAATGTGCACTACTTTAACCAATTAAACAGATCAGTATTAATGTGAAAATATACACAATTTAGCTAAACAAAGTAAATTGAAAACCATGAAAATCTAAATACTACAAATACATTCAAGTATCTCTCTTTTAATTATCTAAAGTAATAGTTTTCAAAGTGTTAGTACACTCTTTGCTCCGGTGGAATTATCCAAATGAGCACTAAGAGGAAAGTGGGCAGCAGGGATCACTGGAGATGAGTCCCTTCGAGCGCGTTACCTACACTGGACTATAATGCTTTTATATTGCATAAATATTGAATAATTACAACAGCAGACTTAAGTATTAAGAAGTTTCTCGCATTTTTCACATCATATTTGATAGAATATGTTTACGGTGCAGTCATCTAACTTCTCTCCACGCAAAGAAATCCATTCTAAATTATTGAACGTGGCGATTTAAAACTTTCTAAGTGACTTTAGACTAGGAATCGAGAAATATATCAGGTTCATCGCTCATGTTAACTAATATTGAAGAAATTAAAATTGATTTTTAAGATTCTTGCCTAATGACGATGCACTTCACAAATTAAAATCAATTAATTAAATTTATTAGTTTTGTTGAATAAATAACATTTTAAAAGTTTTCATTAAATTTAAATAAACAAGTTTTGTTATTGTTTTGAATTTAAGTGTTTTTCTTAATGAGTCATACAAATCGATGTTTAAATAAATAAATAATAAAACTGGTAGGATAGAGGAAGGAGCGTTGGAAATGAGTTTATGGAAGGACAGTGGGCAAGGTAAGTTCGCGAATCACTGATTTAAAGCCGTCGGGACTACAGAATTCGAATATAAATAGCCTAAAAAATTTGATTTACAATAAAATTCGAACAACAGAATGTAATTTTAAAATGATAACAATAGTAATAAGATTGATTATTAATATAACATTTTCAAAAATTCACGTTTTGGATAATTTTACAATTAAAAAATAATTAATATTTATATTATATATCTACTACTACTATTATATATCTCTTATTTTTAGTTTATTTTTTCTTAAAATTTTAAACTGTTTTTATGCTAATACATAAATTAACTCTGTCGTATTTAATTAAAAATTTTATTTAACAATAATTTAGCTAAATTTTTTATTGTTTCTCATATTTAATATTGATTTTACACTTGTGAATTTTGTACCTTAATACCTAATTGTTGTCCATATATAAAATACTCTCTCTATCAGGTCTAATTAAAGGTATTTAATATACTCCATATTTTTCAAGGATATTTATTTCACTTATAGCTATAAGTGGGATATCCTTGATAAAAGTAAATAAAAGGATATCCCACTTATTAGAATAAGTGAAATATCTTTTCACTTATCATAAAATCATAAAATTGAAGTATATAACTTAACATACCTTTAATTAGACCTGATGGAGAAATAATTTTTTTTAAAGTTATATAGGCCAACAACTAAGGCATTAAGAAACAGAATACCTGAGTATAACCCCGAAATTAAATATGAAGACAAACAATAAAGTTAGATAAATTAACGCTAATTAAAGTATCTCAACCAGAATAGAACAGCGTTAATTTACGTTTTAGCACAAATTCATTAACTTTCTTATAAGAAACTCTGTATTATAAGAATGACTGAAGTTATTAATTCGTCCTCAGTAAAAATAAACAATTTGTGGATGTATACATAACATACACACACATTATATATATAATTTAATTTTAAAGTCATTCAAACTATGAACTTTTGTGGAAATATTATGTTCATAATCAGTATTATTACTGTTATTTATTTATTTATTTATAAAATTTTAATTTATACTTAGTGTATGAAATTAGACGAATCGAACATATAGACATGCGTGAAACTTTATTTAAAATATTTAAAATTATATTTAAATTAATTTCCAGTTATATTTATATTATTAGAGAATATTTTAAAATTGTACTATGCTGATCGAGTTTTGAGATTATGTACAGTAAGTTATATTCAAATTCAGTTATTCTTGACATGATTAAAAGCGATAGTATCTAAATTTGTATATAGATTTTTTGATTTTTTAAGGTTTTTAATAAATTTTGTATTTTGTGAGTATATATATTTTCATGTTAAAATATATAAAATTACATCTAGATATTACAGGGTTAATTAGGTTGAAGAGATTCTAAGAGAATTGTTGATAATTATCGCATTAAGTATGGAAAAAAATTCATCTTTCGAATGCAATTAATTTTCTAAAAATGTTTTGAAATTATTGTAATTGGCAAGAAACGTGATCTCTTGAAGAACCTGCAAAGAAACGTGTTCATAGAATAATTTAATAAAAACTTTATTCTTTTGTATCAACGTATTAAAAAAGATTTTTTAACATCATAAACAAGAATCGGAGTTCATTTAAATAGATAATTATAGCTTTTTATTGATTGATTTGTTTAAACAAGAATATAATTTGGTCGGAGAGGAGATGAGAAAATCCTTTTTTCTTTGCCCGAATATTCTCAATTTTGAAATTTAATTCTAAATTATTCTCTTCTCTAGTAACATGTCGTTAATTCTGATTTATTTAAAAAATAACTTTAGCATTAACGTCGAAAAAAGTCAATAATCTTATTCACAAAACGTGCTAGCTGCAGAAAATTTTACAAAAGATTTATGTGAAAGGAATTATTGAATATAAAAGATCTTTTAAAATAATGTTTTGTATCATCCTGTATTTATCGATACTGAAAATTTCATTTAATGTATTATCAATAATCAGAATATAAAAACAGTTATATTTTGGAAACTTTATCCATTTTGTACGTATATAGCCTATATTGTTAAAAATACCATTTTTCTATTTTTTAATATTATTTGCCATTTGCTGTTTACTTGCAGGTATAAGTTATCAGCACATATGTCATGTTCATATTTTTTATATTATAGTTTTATTTTATTTAAAAATCTTATGTTCAGCGTAAAATATTAAATTATTTAGAAAGTCTTTGTTATATAAATTTTTTACACTAAAAATACAACGTAGAGAGAGAAATTCCTCTGGAATCTTAACTGGTTTGCTAACTGAATTTGAAACTATTGTTCAGTTTGATTATAGAATCATCCGTTACTGTCCTGACGAAAATTTAACGCGTTCAATACGTCATTCATAAGGAATAATAAAAAATAATTCCCGTTTTAATGCTAGTTTATATAGTACTTTCAGTGGCAGTTCCGGATTTAGGGGCCCACCAATGGTCGAGTGGATAAAACAACTGAAAACTGGTAGTTGGTCGCGGGTTCGTGCCTGATCAACGGGCTAGCCACACGTGAAAGTTTTCCGGGTTTCTTCACGTGTCTAACACATANAAACAATTACAATTCTAAAAATATAATTAAAGTAAAAAACAACAGTTTCTTCCAAGTTTGAAAAAATTAAATACTAGCATTCTAGTTATCAGAAAAAAATGATACTCCATTCAGCAAGGCTACATAAAAAGAATGTGGTTATCTAGACAATAGAATAATTTGAAAAATGAAAAATATTACCAAAATACTAAGTATACTTTTAAATTATTACTGAATTATTTTTTAAAATAAAATACAAAATTTTAAGAAAACTTTAAAAAAATAAAATTTTTTCATAATACAAAGTATTTGTTTGTTTATTCTTTCTTAATGTCCAAAACAATTATGAAAACTATCTTGGTAAGAACACACTGACAAAAAAAAAACCAAATAATAAAGTAAATATAGTATTGTGATTTTTTGAAAGTTTTAAATATAATTAGTAACTTAATTTCACTTATTTTTGTATTAGAGAAAAAACCCTTTAAAATTTATTCACAATAAAACAAAATAATATCTAACAATTATAGGATAACTTTAAAAAATTTGTTTTACTTTAAACTATTAATAATTTTCTTTGCAAACATACTTAATAGTAATAATAATAAAACACATACTTGAAGGCTACTCCTTAATTCAGATAAAAATGTTACTGGACTTCTTGTTTTTATATACGAATCTAAATCCTTTAATAAAAATTTATTATTAGTAAAAATAATTTATTAGTACTTAATGATAGTATTTATATTAATTGAACATTTCATTTTATTTACTTTTTTAAAATTAGGTGGTAATATCAAATTAGGAAAGTTAGTTAAAAGTCGAGGTGCTGCAGTAATTTCTGGTAACATATCTACTTTTAAATTTGGTGTGAACGGATCTGGTAGCCTCATATTTCTGGGAAATGCACTAAGAATGAGATTTCTCATTTGTATACAATTTGGTGGTATTACATCACAGAAACTATAATGACATTCACATAAGAATTCTGGAAAATCATGTAAAAGCACAAGCAAGACTCTCAGTGTTCCCTGTAAAAAAATAAAAAATTTTAGCATTACCTTAAACAGTAACTGATGGAGGAGAAATATCCAAAACTTACCTTATACAAAAGATGTATAGGTTTTGCTAATTCTACATTTCTTAAAAAGGGAGCCAAAAATTTAAAAAGATGGACTAATAACTGACTGTATAAATTCCAAGCCTAGAAATATTCAATTTATATGTAAGCACTTCTGGATAAACAGTTTTGAATATTGAATATTCTATTATGAGAAAGCGAATTTTCTGCGCATTATTTCACATATAAATCTTGAAGAGCATAATATATAATGAACTTTTTAGCTATACGCTACACTTATTTAACAATAAATAAACGATTAATATTACTAGTTAAGTATGCTCTTTAGAAACAGTATAGTATCAATAATTTTTTAATAACCATTTATTTCAAAACTTCTGAACTGTCTGATCTAACTTGTTTACAGTTCTTGATTGTGGGATATCCGAAGTGCAAATTGTATTGAGAGAACATTCACAGCTACTTTATTCGAGGGATAAGGTGAGAAATCATGCTGCGAATATTTCTTAGTAAACACCATGAGTGACAATCAGAAATGCAATTCTCTTACAGCTTACTGTAAATTTCGTATGGAACAAGGTGACAACAAAACATATGATGTTTGTGCGAACTTGTGACATGAATGAGAGAGTTTCAACTTTAGATAAAGTAGAAAATTTAAAGTTTTTTAAGACAATTTTTAAAGCGTTTTCCTCTTTATTTCTTATAATCTGTCCATTTTTCATTTTTAATTTCCTTATTTTTCTCGATTGAGAATGTTTAAGGAAATAATGAAAATATAGGTTTCCTTAGTTAAAAGTATTAAATTTTATACGAGTTTTTTATTCTGCAGTAATTTATTTATTAATTAATATATAGAAAAATTCGATCATAGTAAAAACGTTTATTCATTTTAATGAAATATATAAAAAGCAAGAACCTATTTATTTCGTACAATATAACTGAAATAAAAACTCAAATTTATAATTTAAAACGATTGAAATATTTATAACTGCATTGAACTAAGCTGAATCATGATACTTTCTATAGCAATTTACAGTTTATAAAATAGAATCTATCGAGATATCTCTTTTCCAAGTTATTTCGAGAGATGAATAAATATTTAAAATATTTGAATAACCGTTGTTTATATTAAATATACAAATTTCTTCTCTTTTACTGGATATCTTTTTCCTATACTTTTTTAACATTTACGCCGATCATCTCAGATATTTTATCATATTATACATCTCTTCAAAAGAATTGAACTAAATGCATATTATTACAGACAATTTCATTGAAAGCTTTGAGATAAAATTATAAAAAAATCACTTTTCGAATTCCATTTCACATCTTATCAATTTTCTTACATTACATATTGGAATATCTATTTTCTACAAATAGTATACTTTTATTTCCTTAAAGGTTAGCTTTATTTTTTTTCAAATTAAACGAATCCGAGGTTGTGGCTTCTCTTGTTAAAGTTTTCCATATTTTCAATCTCGTAACTTCTCTTTTCTCTTATCCTAAAATAATTTTACTCGTCACGGAGTCCTTATCTGAAGGAAACACTGACATATATTTTCTCTTCAGTTTCATCTAAATCGGTTTGAAGAACGAACGCATCAGCACTTTCTGTTTACAACAAATAACGAACATAACAGATTTATTATAAAAAATTATATGAAAGAAATNATTCCAAAACGTTTTCCAACCTTCTGACTCTGTTCATTCTACAACATTCTGAATATTTAACTAAAATATTTTTTTCGTATAATAATTCGATAAAAACTGATAAAATAAAACTATTTGTACATAAAAAGTTATTCAAAATACGATTGACAAAGAAAAATTCCAAATAAATAATTCAGATATAATTTTTAATCATAAAATATTTAAGATTTCCGGAAAGGTCCAAAAGCCTCTGAAATAATATAGGATATTACGGAACATTCCCGAAGAATCTAAAAATTATTAAAGTAATCCACAATATTCGTTGTTTGTTTTTATCGTTTCATTTTTTTATTATTTGATTATTAAAAAAATGTACTATAATGTATTATTAATTTAAAAAGAAATGAGAGGGTTGTAGGGGTGAAGAATGAGAATGAGAGTGAGGACAGAGAATGTGTGTGAGAATTCTACAATATTCCAGAAAATTTTAGAACTTTATAGAAAAAACTGGAGCATTTTCATTGAAGCGTCACACATTTTTGAAGTCAATCACTTTCAATCCCCATATCACACACATCCTTATACGCAACCACCATAGTGCATGAATGATGGGAGACTTGGGGCTACCACCACACACAAACACCATTCATGTGCAAAGTGTAGTTTTGGCTGTAGAGTGAAATATAGGCACAAACATATCCATTATATATATATATATATATAATGGACATGTCATCTTTACATGAAATATAGCTGCAAGACAATTTGAAATTTGCCATGTTACAAAGTAAGAACATTCAGATATTCAAACTTTTTAACATTTAAAGTAGCATTTATTTATTTATTTATCCTAGTGATAGTATTACAATGGAAAATGATTGTATTGTATTAAAAATGTGGCATTTGATAATGGTACATATTGGTCTAGTACCAAAGACCTATTGAATATGTAATACATTTCACAAAATTAATACTTTGGTAATTCTTTTGTCAAATTCTTGAATGTCTGTAGTACAATATTAAATAATTATGAGTATGTTAAGATAAATAGAGTTTTCAATATAAAATAGAATTTTTGATATTACAGAAAGTTCTCAAATTATGAATATTTGAAATAAGCCATTTTAAAATAATGCAGTGGAAAAAATCAGTATACATTGTTCAAAATACATTTCACAAGTATGCACGCAGCATAGTTACATTGTTTAGCCATTAACTTTAATGTTTATATATGTTATATATCCAAAAATTCATTGCAATGAACATCTTGAAGGGCAGTTAAATTCTTCAACCATTTTCTTGATGTACTTCAAACCATCCACAAATCCACTGACAAATAAACATAAAACTTTCCTTAACCAAATTTTATTTGTATGAAAAATTTCTGTACAACTGTTGAACTAAAGCTAGATCAATGATTCTCTCTTCTCATCTGTTCAAATCAGCTCTTTGTTTCAACTACTCATTCTAACATTCATACTAACATATAAACTAGAGAGAATTTTTTTCTTTCCAGTTTATATTATTTTTATCTTCTTTTGTTTTTGAGAACTAATAAAGACTTATATCCAAACTGTTTTAATTTTATTCAAGTTACATGTATTAGTATGACTGTTATTCACATTTACAGTGTGTTAACAGAATTAAACTTGTGAGCATTTACCATTATTTTAAATGGCAAAATTTTCTTAATATTACACAAAATTTAAAATGTTTGTATGTCACACATATTTTAAAATTCCAATCTTGTGTAATTTGAGAACCATTGAAGATTAGTATGTGGAAATTTTTTTAACTGACTTGGAACTTGAAATAATTTCAAAACTAATTATAGTATTTAAAAATAGTATATATGTTCACAAAAGATAAAAAAATGGTACTAGAAATGAAAAAATATTGAGATGTAAACTCTTATTTATACGTATATAGGAATTTATTTAATATTAATGGATATTTTTATATTTGCAGAGTATTAATTTGTCCAATGTGTCAATCTTAACTAAAATTATTAATTTTACATCTGTTGTTTTAATGCCTTTTACTATTTTACTAATTTTTATAGCTAAACATAGGCTACCCACAATGGAACATACTACATGAACTGTTTGTAAAAAATAGATTGTCATCTAAATCAATTTTCCTTTTGATTTAAAGGCATATACTTTCAAATCTAGTCCTGAATAAATGATTAGATTGTAATTAGGATATTGTGTATTATGAATAATTTATGTTGAACTAATTATACAATATTGGATAAAAATTTTATTCATTATCTGATAAAGAAAGTTTAAATTAAATATATTCTCTAAGATATTTCTGATATATTAAATATGGGAAATCCAGAAATCTAATCAAATCTTGCTTGACATATATTTTTCCAAACTTAGTGTTTACCAAAATGCAGCAAAATAATATGTTTAAAATGGCAGAATATAAATTATAAATGTTGAGTATATCAAATCTAATAAAATTACTGAGAAATATTTGCTAACTGATTTTCAAATTAACATAGTAAGATTAACTGCACAGTGAATATTAAATGCAAAATTCATTTCTACTATTAACATAGACTATTTTCTTTATATTTAGAACAAATATGTCAATCATATAATTTGAATGAAAAAAATATAAAACATGTTTTTTTAAAATATTGTATTGCTTCTAAATATTTCATATTTTATGCATTTTACAGTTTTAAAATATTGTGAATTTTACATGAATTGTATTAAATTTTGTTATTCTAATTAACTTCATTGTTAACAAATAAGATTTCTGTAAAATTACTTAAATGAAAATTTTTTATTCTTAAATCAGAAATAGTAGTATTTTTCATTAATAATAATGAAGCTGATATTATATATGGGGTTCAAAAGTAGGTATACAGTTGTTATTACAGGGGGAAAAACATGCAGGGAGAAAACAAAGAAAAAAAAAACATTTATTTTTATGTACAAATTAAATCACAAATAAGGAATGCAAACTAATAAAAGATAAAAATAATAATAACAAACATCAAACATTTGTATTTCTCAGATTCTCAACTGTATACCTACTTCTGTACCCCCCTGTATATTATTGAAAAAAAAATCTCACCAAAAAGCAGTAGTAACTTGAAAATTGATAGCTTCTAAAATTGGTTCTGGTGCACTCAATTCAAGGAAAAGCATAATAAAAATTCGATGGTATGGAAGCTGTTGAAATTCAGTACTTCTTATTTCATGATCTTGAAGTAAAACTCCTGCTACAATACCAAGAACCTAAAGAGAATATTTGTATTCTAAATAAATTCAAACAAGTAATTACAAGTAGATTAATGTAATAATTTATAAAGTCTTGATTACAAAATAAATCAATTAATAATTACACAGATTATCTAAGATTTTCCTGAAAATATAAAAACTTGCATTTTAAAATGAACAATTTTAAAAATATAAAATACTTATTTTCTATACATTTATTTTTCTTAGCCTGCTTTAATGTAGTGTGTGAAATAATGATTGGGCTATGTGATAATGTTATGTAACATGAAATAACCAATATTGCTTGATGTGTTATCTATTGATACAGAACCAAGTTTGTAGCAGGTACTCTAAAAGAGCTGCTCAGTGAAGAAAAAACAGTAACAAGATGATTAGTTTGGCACAACTACTAATAAAGAAAAAAATAAACTGCATGTGTTCTTCAGTAAGAAGATTCAGAATAGTGTCTATTTGAAGAAATGAAGCAGTGCAACAATCGTAAACATTACTCCAGATACTCTTGCTCAAATGTGGCCTGTAGTTAAATATCATCATATTTGAAATCTGGTAATGATGTTCAAAATCTAAGCTAGTAGCTGCAATAAATATATTTCAGAGCATATTGCATAACATTTATTACCATATAAAAGCACTCAACCATTATTTTTAGGACACCCTGTATTTGCTCTTGTAAAGGTAAAAGAAAATTGTTGCATCTGAAATAATAGCAATTCTTCTACATAGAGTATTGCAAATTGTAGACCTTTTGAACTGATTAACAGAGCTAAATTTTAAAACTAATATTGTGTGAAGGAATTAGAGTACTAATATAAGTTAAATTTGAAAAATTAATTTTGTCACACTTCATTTTAATTATTATTTTTTCTATATTAATTTATAATAAATATCACACCATTCTGATCTGATAAAAATCTTAGTTTCATTAATATACTTTAGTTCAAGAGAAGTAATTATGGTTTCTAATTTTATAAACTATACCATTCAAAATAAAATTTTTGTATAAAAGTTTTAGCATAACAATGTGACTGTTCAATAATTGATCAAAATTAAACTTTCAAGAGTGGTAAAATTCAATATATGTAGACATGTTTGATAAAATATTAAAATTCTGTTACAATTTTCATCTTTCTTCAAATACTTATACTAATTATTACTTTCAAATTCCAGAATTGTGAGATAGCAAGAATTTTCTAATTATAGTTATATTTATTTTCCATTTTGTTTCAGTTATATTGAGTTTTGAGGGTTGAATTATGCTAAACCTCAAATACTCTCAATACTTCCTGGTTAGTATTTCATTTACATAATCTCATGCTAACATCTACATAATGAATAGAATTTTATACAACTAATTTAACACCCCGCAGGGTTTAAAAATGATTAAAATATTAAATAATATTGTACTATATTTTGTAACCAGATATTAGTACAAACACTAGTTAGAAAACATTTCATTTCTGTTTGTATGCATGTTCAATATGCAAATTAACATTGTATAAAAAGCTTATCAAACTGATACATCAAGCTAGACTTCACTCTTGTTATAATTCCACAGCTGTGTGCTGACAAGCAATTGATAACTCTAAGTGTTTGATTGAATTGGTGTTGATTAAGAGTTTTTCTATTAAATTTCTTTTGTTAATCAGGTTAACTGTTTGGGATTTTGAATAATTATAATTTTGTAAATAGTACTAACAGGCATTTTATTTTTGTAAATATTAAATTTCAAATTTGTAATATTTGAGCTTTATTCTATTGTTAAAATTATAACTTTTGTAGTCAAAGTCCATTACTGGCATTTACACTTTAGTAAAGATTTTATTTTATGAACTCTTGAAGGATTGTTTCTTTGATATTTTGGATCTTGCAGAATTACGAATTCAAAATTATTAATACTTCAATAACTGGAAAACTGTAACTAAAGCCAAAATAATTCTTGATTTTATAATGATTAAAAAATTTAAATAAAACTAATTTTGTCCTATTAATTAGGAAAATTAATATATGAAATAAATTCATATATACTTACCTTATTTAGTAGATTGACTTTTGTAACTGTATTAGATGCATCACCACTGTGTTTTACCAAAAGAGCAATGAGTCTAACATAAGCATCTAAAGTATGAAAACACTTAGCACGAATCAGAGTTGGTGAACTTGAAGGCTGATCTGCTAGGGCTCGATAACAGAGATCCACACACATCTCAGTGCTCAGTCGAAAGAATCGTGTTATCAGATCATCATTCTTCAGTATCCCCTGCAAATTCATCTAAAAATAAAAATACCTATACACTACTTCCGCAACTTCACAATACTGGATAAAATATAGTTGCCAGTATGGAAGTCATCTTACAGTGAAATCTATTCAGAATGATAATTTTAAATTAATTTCATATTTTGGAAATGCTGAAAATTTTTCCTTCATACAACTCTTA